TATATATATATATATATATATATATATATATATATAAAGAAAGAAAGAACAGTAAGATATATCATCCGATGTTCTTATTGATATTTTTATTTTAAGGAAAACAGTGCTCAATGTAAATTTACAGAGAACCAATATTATAAATTAACTGATTTAAAATATGTTTTTTTTCGCTACACAGTAATAACTATGTTTCAAAAAAGGAAGCTATAAGGTTAAAATTTGTAATTTTGTCTGAATGATTGGATTTCTCTGTATCCTTGGAAACAGTGAATTATGAATTTATCTGTTCCTTTTAAACCCAGTAAATTATAAAAAAAAGAAAAAGTTACTCCAAAATTCGCTTGAGGATGAAATGGAACTAATATTTTAATTTAATTACAAAATTAAATTTTAAACTTTTAGCTTCCATTTTTGAAGCATAGTTATTACTGTGTAGTGAAAAAACATATTTTAAATCAGTTAATTTTATAATATATATATATATATATATATATATATATATATATATATATATATATAGAGAGAGAGAGAGAGAGAGAGAGTGTGTGTGTGTGTGTGTGTGTGTGTGTTTGTGTGTGTGTGTGTGTGTGGAGATGGATGAGCCTGCAAGTGAGAATAGAAATGTAAAGAATGGAATTCGTATTGTATCGGAAATTTAAACAACATAACCACACGACGCCAGTTTGTCCTTCCCGATTGCCTGCCTGATATCGCACCGGATATATAATACCACACTAAGAACATATCCAAAAATATATCATTTTTCCTGTCATTTCTTCCTTTTTCTCTCTTTCTTTCTTTCTTTTTTTTTTTTTTTTTTTTCGTTATTTCTGCAAGGAATTCTTGTTGCATTCACTTCAATAAAACCTGATCTTCCCACCCTCACCTCACGATCGGAATTACACGTTAAAAGAAAATTCCAATACTGCCGTCAATAAGTGAGATTGATACACTTGCATTTGAAAATCATTTGTTTCTATCTACTTTCACTTTCACTTCCACAATGAGTGGACACTATAATACTCTCGCCATCAGCTTTTATTATGGCGCCATACTCTTCAATAGGAATTTTGTTATTGCCTTGATAAAAAAAATAAAACAGAGAAAAAGAAGTAGATTATGCTTTTATGTAGTTTATTGTTATTATTATTATTATTATTATTATTATTATTATTGTTATTGCCATTATTATTCTTTCATACTACGTGCTTTATACGCTGATATCTTTCTTTAGTTTTTCGTGAACAGAGTGTACCGTTTTGCATTTGAATGTCAAATAAAGAGCTTTGTTTTTCTAAGACTTTGCCGGATCGCTTATCTTTTGCGATTTTCTTCTGATTTCTACTTTTCTATTTATCTTTTATTAAGCATTTTCCCGGATTTAGCCTATCTTTCTCGCTAACATAATGCACATAGTTAGGCCCCTCACTAATATACAGAGCCGAGTTCGAATTCCAGTTGAATCCGTTACATTCACTCATGTGCTAATACCATTGGGAAAAGTATGAATCCTCTTCTTCTATGTTATGGGTAAATAGCAGGGCAGACTGGGTTCCATACCTTTGGGTGACAACTGGTTTAGTAGAAGGACAACTCTGAATTCATAACCGTCGGAGGGTCGTTTGTGGACCTTGAGGCACACTGTGCACCAGCTCTCTATATTCGACCCTTCAAAAACTGTGATTGGTTCTGCACAAAACCTTCACCACTATAATCAAATAGGAAGATTGTCTGGCTGTCGGTTCCTAGGAAATGAGTGGCCTGAACCTCATACGTCGTAAAATGGTGCCGGGTAAGTGCGAGTCAACGGCCCGCCTCGATCAACAACAGGAGAGTCCACGATATATATATATATATATATATATATACACACACACACATATATATATTGTTAACAGAAGCCATTGTTTTATACCAACGGATTTCCATACTTCATACTTCTCCAACTCACTCTCCTGTGGTCATATGTGACGTCATGAGATGCGGTGCGATTTTCGCTTCTAGCGTCTTATATGCACGTGTTTATAGTTGCTTAGAAATTATCTATGTAAACATTGACAGACTATCATCACTGTCTTGTCCGTATATTGCTTAATATGTTGTAATTGACATCTTTGATAATGGCTTATGTAAGCCGAAAGCTTAGATTGTATTAAAAAAGTATGGATCAATATTATGAGTTTCTTTCTTCGTTCAACGATAATGTTATTAAACTCATCAGACGTTACGAAAAAATTTACATAAAATAAATAGACAATACTTGTCTATATTATTTAATGAAACGTGTATATATATATATATATATATATATATATATATATATATATATATATATATATATATATATATATATCTTGAGGTAATCGGATGTCTATTACACTGATGAGCTGGGAAACAGTGAAACAGTCTGTCTGTGGAAGCCAATATTTTCATGCACCCGAAAAAAATTATTTCGGTTGAGCTCTCGGTGAGGAAAAGTGAATTTGTAAACAGTGACTATTAATGCTGCTAATCGAAGTCTCTTCGTTAAAAACGAATTGAGTTCTCCCAGTTACTGGCGTGTTTATGTAAAAAATAAATACACTTAAATTCACCGTCATTCCTTGTCGTACGGCAATGGCTTAGAGGTCGATTCTCCGATTGATACCAAATCAGTCGAGTTTGGATCCCGGCGTGAGGCAATCGGATGTTTAGTCACACTGAAGAGCTGCGAAACAGTCTGTCTGTGGATGACTATACACACACACACACACACACACACACACACACATATATATATATATATATATATATATATATATATATATATATATATATAATGGACTCTCCCGTCGGTTTCGACGTATGAGGATCTGACAGCTTAATTGATTCAGTTTTGAAATTTTGTGTGATAATCAAGTGGCACTTAAAACCTGCTCGTTTTTTTTTTACAAAGGAGGCCACATATGGAGCAAGTGTGGGGATTGTGAGATGAGATAACTGCTAGATTGGCTGACCTTTTAGATCTTGCTCTCCCTTCTTGAAGATGATTCAGACATGCAGACTGAAAAATGCTGTTGATCTCCATTCTACCCGCTTCATGTCTAAGCCCACAAGAGTGTTATGTTTAACACTATATAGTGTTGTTCACTTGTGGCTTATTCACTGTTCCCTAACTGGAGTATTCGCCGATAGTTGTCGAACGACGCCCTGGGAAATTGGATAAAGATAATACGTTTTAAAATAAGCAATGACATTTTTATTGTTTGGCCATTAACATTTCATTGTGTTTAGAATATTCTAGAGGATACTACATATCCAATCCACCGGATAAATATTTGTGTCTCGGCTATGTAACATGAATCCGACTTATCTGCAACAATTATTCCTGTCGAACGGATCTCGTAAATTACTTTTCGAAAAATGCACCTATCCTCTAATCTTTAATTAATCCTCCAAAATCCGTTGGGTGTCCCTAAAACTATCATCTATAGTGTGTGTAGGATGTTTGTCATTTTTTTATCAATTCACTCCAAGCAATGAGATCATGGCAATAAAACACAAGGTGCTTCTGGGAGTGAAAGAGCATGTGAAAACTTTAGAAGGAATTGGAAAACCACTCCAAGACAGGATAAAAGTGATAAGTCTTTAATCCTGTTCACAAGACCTAGGCGGAGCGTGTACTTGACGATAAACTAATATATTGACTTCTATTGAGGCAAAAATAAAATTAAATAACAAAAAATAAAATTAAAAAAAATAAAATAAAAAATAAATATCAGCGTTTAGGCGTTTAGGCAGGGGCGTTAGTAGACTTTAGAAGGAACCGGAACCCCTATCCTGAACAGAAAAAAAAGGGATAAACACCTGTTCAAATAACTGGAGAGGAGAGGGAACAGGCGACAGGTGAACCTATCTACTTTTATATATCGAGTGTAACAGCAAAATTGTCAACACCGTGTAACTGCAAAATTGTTCAATTGTTAGATCAAGTTTTGAATTATTGCATCTTAGAAATGATTAAATATATCTTACTGGAATTCTCCGATGTTTTTATAACACTATTGGACTCTACTTTGAACAATAAGAATGTATAATTCCAGGATCATTTTTTCAACTGATTCAATATGATCTTCGCCCTTTCTAACCTTCTAACTTTCTGTCTTGGAGTCAAATGTGACTCACGGGTTTTCGGTACGATTTTATTTTCAATTCTTTTTTTTTTTTTACTGCTCTTTGGACTGTCATAGGTGAAACTTCTCTCTCACGTGCGAAACGCCTTATGGATTGAGCTGGATCTTTTCTAAATGATTTCTTTAGCTCTAAGTTCAAATGATTATCCCTCTTACAGTTGTGACCTCCTGATCCAGTTTTCCTCTTTACTGTTCCCCAGGTTTTTAAAAACTTATTCACTGTTTTCTTGATGGTTTTTGAATGGGCTTCGAAGATCGAAGCAGAGTATGAATGTTGGTACCATTATTGAAGGCCTGAACGATCTTTTTCCGTCTCATCATTGCTCCGTTGGGGAGACGGTGTGGCTGATACAAAGCTTTTTCGAGCTGAATATCTCAAAGGGTTCTTCAATGATTCTTACGACAAATGATATCAAGATGGCTAAACGTCTTATCTGAAAACCTGGAAAAAAGAAGCCCAGTTAGTTTAGTGTTTTATTAGAGATTAAACATTTTGTGGGATGGACAATTATCGCATGCTGTGACACGATTTGAATAATTGTGCTTTTACAATTTTTATATATATATTCGGTTCACGAAGCTAATTCGTACCAACTCGTGAAACGAAATGTTCGTAAACCGAAATGTTCGTAAGCTGAAACTGTTTCCCACCAGAAGAATAAATGTAAAATCGATTTATCCGTTCCTGGATATGGTGTGCGCAAGTTCATACAGAGAACCAATGAAAAGCATTAAATGTAACAACAACAACAACAAAAGATAAATACAATTCTAAAGAAGTAAAATATAGAGGAAGCGGGAGGGTGGAATAAGTGGGAGCTGGTGAGGATGAGGAAAGGTAGACATGTTATTGTTTGGAAGGTGAGTCCGCGTCCATCAAAATGTCAGGCAACTGTCTCTGTGGACTTTCTTCTCTCTCTCTCTCTCTCTCTTATTTGTCTCTTTGAGACTTACGTCCTGTCGATCTACCTTGTCGCCAGCTCGCACGTGTTCGTCGCTCGAGAAAGCATTCGTCACCTAGAGCGTTTCTTTTCTCGGAAAATTTATTCTTGAACCGATTCGGCTTTGTGATGGGAGGCTTTCCTGGCCCGGGATTCCACTATATAGCGGCTGTAACAGCAAAATTGTCAACACCGTGCAACGGCAAAACTGTCCAAATGTTAGATTAAGCCCTGAACCGTTGTATGTTAGAAATGATTAAAGATGACAAGGTTAAAATCGTTTTTGGTCACCCTAGACTATCTTCCAAACTTAGCAAGAGTGAGAGGGAAAAGACCATTCAGACCTTCAGTAATGGTGGCAACATTCATACTCTGGCTTCCATCTTGAATGTCCATTCAAGAACCATCAAAGAAACTGCGATTAATCAATGCTAAGCAAAACAATAAGCTAAAACCTAAAGGAGGAGTTTAATCTATCGCCTGTAACACACACACACACACACACACACACACACACACACACACACACATATATATATATATATATATATATACAGGAAAAAATTACCTCAACATCGGACATATATTTGTTGTTCAATAAAGTACATACACGCCGTTGTTAGCCATTTTATAAAAATTTTTGTTACGTGGTTTTGGTTATTTTTGGTTTTCGCAATAAATACTGTTCAATAGTTTTCCTTTCCAGTTAGGTGAAACCTTGGTAGGATTGCCAGGCTCCTTAAGATTAACTTATCTTATCTTAGGTTTGCTCTACTTAGTGTACTGAGTACTTTGCGTAGTTGTCTTTTGGGGGCTTTTTTTTCTTTGGAATCGGAGCTTAAATACTGGATAATTGATTTCGACTTGTTTTAATGTACTTGGTTCTTTCTTTTTTATTCACCATTTTTCCTCAGGAACTGATTTGTTCTACTGCAAGTTGAACTATCAAACGAGTTCCACCATATATATATATATATATATATATATATATATATATATATATATATATATATATATATATATGTCAGCAGTAATAAATATACCACATAACAGCCTTGAGCGCTTAGCTTTGGAGCGGGTAGAATGGAGATCAACGTGTTATAGCGGACCCAGCAATTTTCAATCCGCTTGTCGGAATCATCTTCAAGCGAGATCAAGATCTAAAAGATCAGCCAATCTAACAGTGATCTCATCTCACAGTTCCCACACTTGCTCCATATGTGTCCTCCTTTGTAAATCACTACCGGGTCTTAAATGTCACTTACTGAATTAATAAGCTGTCAGATCCTCATACGTCGAAACCGATGGAAAGTCCATATATATATATATATATATATATATATATATATATATATATATATATATATATATAATTGTTGTTTTTTCTGTAAAAATACATATGCTCCGTTAAAATAAAAAACATCGAGCAGTCTGTGGATCAGTCTTAATAATCATTATTACTAGGATCCACTCGGATTATATCAACGGATCGATCATCTGTTATATATCTATATCTATATATATATATATATATATATATATATATATATATATATATAATAAATTTTGTAGGTCTGATGAATTGGATCGTATTTACGATTCCAATGGAATAAATTATGACCACGGAATATTAGTGTTTAAGCCTTTTTATTATATCCTTACTCTGTCCCGGACATTGTGTTCTACCTGGATTCTAACCTCTTGGAATTATTTTTTTATACAAATATATATATATATATATATATATATATATATTTTAGATATATGATTGCATATGTATGTGTATATTTACCACTAATATTATCTATCTATCTATCTATCTATCTATCTATCTATATATATATATATATATATATATATATATATATATATATATATATATAGAGAGAGAGAGAGAGAGAGAGAGAGAAGAGAGAGCCCGAGATCGAGAGAGAAACCTACATATGAGACAAATAATTGATAAATGAATATGAATGTATAAAATAAAAGGAAAGGAAAGGAAAGACAATCGTGATAAAATATTAAAACTATACATGATAGAAGGATGAGTGAAGTCGACGTGTTTAAGCCACACGGCACACCTGGTACCAGAAATTAAACAAATATATTTAAATATTAGCATCTGTGTATATTTTTACGTACATTTTACACACAGACACACACACACATATATACATATGTGTGTGCATATTTTCATCTAAACTGTTTCATTAAATGAAAACAATGTCTGTCTTTGAATTTTTGTATTTTCGCAATTTTCGATGATTTGTTTGCTTGAAATTATATATATATATATATATATATATATATATATATATATATATATATATATATATATATATATATAGGGTTACAAACTCATATCCATACAACTGAATTTCTTAGTTCTATCACTTATATTGAACACTGACTATTGAACACATTACTGAGCATATATATATATATATATATATATATATGTGTGAGATACAAATATAGTTTTAAGGTAAACTATAATTACGGGTTAAATTAATCAATATTAGGGATAGAGTATGTGTAATAATTGGGCATTAAAATCAAAATTATATATTCATATATATATATATATAAATATATATATATATATATACGTGTGTGTGTGTGTGTGTGTTAGGGAAATATGCGTTTCAAAGTCTTTAGGACTCCATCGAATTCCGCTAAAACTTCATCATTGCTCACATGTCCTGTCCATAGCGTTCACTCTTACTGGACGTATAATCGAGAGTAATAAGATGAATGATAAAAAATTGTCAATGGCTCATCTACGAAATTCAGACGGCGTAAAACTATACTTAATCATACTATGTGGCAAACCTAAGATAAATAACATTAAAGAAATAGTGGTAATAAATTAACAATAATTGGTAATTCTCTACATACAACGCGTGAAAGCACGATCGATACTCTGTCCTCATCATCCGCCAAACACCGGAGGTAACACAGTTTCGGTGGCTAAGGCGGTACTGCCACCCCTGGTGCCACCAGCAGGTTTTCTGTCACCAGACTGGGTATAACCGATATTTCATCTAAGAAATTAAAACAACGTAAAGCTATTGATGCGCTGTGCAAAAACAAGAGGAATAAAATGAACAAAATATAGTCAACAATTAGCGACGGTTGATAATGCACACAGTTATATGCCATGTGTGATACACACTTAGGCGATCATGTATCTTTCGATACATGACTGACTAGGCAGAAATTTTATCCCGCAATGGGTTTCCATTTCTTTCTTCTGTACACCAGTAGCCATCCAAGGCTATATCACTCGGTCTATCCTGCTTTTTACCCATAGCTAGGGGGAGAAGAAGAAGATCAATATATATATATATATATATATATATATATATATATATATATATATATGTGTGTGTGTATACATGTGTTTATGCATGTCTGTATATATGCATCCGTATATATATGTATGCATACATACATGTATATATATACATATATATATGTTTATATCTATATATATATATATATATATATATATATATATATATATATATATATATATATATATATAGCATACATATATTGTACATTATCTTCTGAAGAATAAATTTGATAGGCAAAAACGGAAATCCTCTAAGAATAAACATAAGATATAGCTCTATATATATATATATATATATATATATATGTGTGTGTGTGTGTGTGTGCATATGTGTCTGTGTGTGTGTATATATATATATATATATATATATATATATATATAATAGCTGGCCACACGTTTTTACTAGAGCGGGTAACCAATTACTAATTCAAACGCTCGCTCAGGCGTTCGTGTTTATTCAACCCCCTCAGAGCCGACCTGTGGATTAAACTGCAACTATTCTGAGCAGGCCTTAGTTACATTTTCTGGGAGAGAACGTGTTATCTACGTGATCAACCATCTGAATAAGGCCATCACACACTCAAACTCTCGGTCACGATGACTTGTGACTTCGTGCTAGCACAAATATTGACGGTCCCCCAAGTGTTCCGTCTACACAGTTTCCCTCACAAGATTAGGATCAACGCGTGGTATAGTTTTCAGGCACTTTCCAAAGGTGCCGCACGCTGGGTCGCCTCCTCCAGACCGATAACCACTGGAAATCTCAAATAAACCGTGGTGAGGTTCGAACCACACACACACACACACACACACACACACACACACATATATATATATATATATATATATAGGTGTGGAGGCCTCACACTTATACACTCTCCCACACGAATATACACACGTACACACATCATACTCACTCACTACCTAATGAGCCAAATGATAACACACACCCACAGCAATACACACGCTTACACATATCATACTCACTCACTCCCTAAGAACCAAATAACCCACACACAAACACTAAACAGAGACGCATCCCCCACCAGGTCCAATAAAACTGTCAACCTGACCAGAGAATTCAGAGCAACATGTATCTGTCCAGCTCTTATCTCAAATAACAACTTAAAAGAGACTGTTTGACCAACACTAGGAATGTTAAAAGATTCATGTTAAAAAGATAAAAAAAATAAAAAAACAAATGAAAACTACAGACAAAAGTTCATTTTCTCCATCAAGACATTCATTTCTGTAGTTTAGTGCTACCAGCAAGCAGAAATATTTCTCCTCCCGATGATGGCCATTTTGGTCGAAACTATTCGAGGAATCTAAATGGAATAATAATAATAAAAACGAAAGAATATTAATCTACAACCCCGTGTGTCTAACGATTTTAATTTTTTAATTTTTTTTATTTTCTTATTGTTCAATATATATATATATATATATATATATATATATATATGGGTGAAGCTCGAACCCAAAGAACTAGAGAAGCGCGCCAGGTATCGACCACTTTGGCGAATCACAATCCATGGTGCTGCTGTCACCTTTGAGTATGCTTGACGCCAGAAGATTAACGCTGCCAAAGATCAACGCCACAAGGCATTACCAGCAGCGATTACGGCAATGGACTTACAGTGCCCCCAATGATCCAAACCCTTCGCCTCGAGTCTGGAGTTGCGAAGCCACCTCCGAGCTCACAGACGATATGCGGAAACGATACATCATCTTCGAGTCGAAAGACCACCGATCATATATATATATATATATATATATATATATATATATATATATATATATATATATATGGGGGGGTGTGTGTGTGAGTGATTTTCTACTTGCAAGTTTCTTTCATAAGTACATGTCACCCATTTTAATTCTTGTTTTGAACTGGTCATTTATTTTTCTAATTTTTTCTTCCTCCCTTTCTTCATTTCTGTTATAGTGGAACACACCTATTCTATAGTTAATAGACTATCCCACCTATAATAAGTAGGAGTAGTAGGACTAACGGGGGAGTCGCTCAGTGAGTCGGTCGGAGTTCAGTCTGAAATCGGACGACCGGCTGACCGGTTGAACTTTCTCCCTTCGGGCGGGGAGGAACCCGAAAGAGGCTACGCCGAAAGGCGGAGTCTCTTTCGGGTAGGTAAACCGGCCCTGAACCCGTTTATACGGGTTCAATGGGCATATTTTTGGCCGAGCCAACGGGCTCGGAGATCACACGTTAAACCGGCCTTGTGCCACATGATGCCGTCGTGGGGGGTGGTTGACTAAATACCGTCGCTCAGTGGGTCGGTCTGAGTTCAGTCTGAAGTCGGACGAACCGGTTCATATTCTTCCGGCTTCTTTTGAATAGGAGTGGATGCTCATCCTTTGTTCCCTGTGCAGGAAATGGGTTCTCGGTTCATTTCCTTTCCTCAGGCCTTAATGGCAGTGCTGTCATGATTTTTTGTGATATGTATGGATGTTTGCAACGTGTCTTCATACTGAAGGAACCGGGTTTGCAGGTTTTAAGTTGTTGTTCCCAACTGGTAGTTAGGAGCCCGAACTATTGTGCAGCGCATTGAGAAGGTGCTCTGATCAACAGTCGCATAATTCCGGGGTTCTTGCAGCGCCATGTCGCGCTTGGTAGGGTGCCCCTGCAAGCACCTCCAGTAGTCAAACCTATATTGCAGTCTCCGCCAGTTTCCTTCCTGCACATGTTATATTAGACGACTAACTGCTATTACTAACCTAACCCTTTCCTTACCAAAGTAACTCACCATGACTATAAGCAACCAAATATATAAAACTAAACCAGCTCAACAAAAACCACCTAAACACGTCAATCTTTCTTTCTCCAACATTTGTGGTATTCGTACCAACTTTTGCAGTGTGGAATCTTTCCTCTTCGAAAAAAACTCCGGACATCCTATCTCTCTGAGAAACTAATCTGAACTCTCCAGTCCCCTCCTCTGATTTCTTGATTCCTGGCTATCTTTCTCTTCTTAGAAATGATTTTAAAGTCCACATACATGGCCTGGGAGTTTATGTCCGCGAGCATCTGTTGGCTAGAGAGTTCTCTTGAATTTACAGACCGTTCTTGCATGTGTCTCCGTCTCTCTCTATTAAACTCTACTCTATTAAGTTTGTTATCACTTCTTTCTCTACTTTTCCTCTTCGATAATATAGACATGGCCATCTCCCTATACCCATTTGCACCCACACCCTGAAATACTCAATCATCCAATCACGCAGGTGTTGGACACCCCCACCAGTTCCTCCAGTAACCCTGATGGATACGCTTCTCTTCTAGATCTCGTTTTTTACCTCTATCCCTAACTCGTGTCGTATTATGCAAAAATGCCTTCTTGGCAACTCTGATCATACGGTAGTATCTGTAAACCTCTCTTCCCGCTACCTCACCAACCAAGAACCTCATACCAAAGTGTTGTGAGTTCTATACCTGGTTTAGGCAGTGTCCTGTCACTAGAGTTAACTAACGCCTCTGTTGTTCATCATGACGCTCGACTTGAGTATAGAATCCAGAGGTTAGCAGTGAATATTTCGAAGACAGTAGGGAAGCGTAGTTCAGGTTAGCAGTGGATATCCCGGTAAAGTAGCAGAGCGTAGTTCTTCCTTCTGTTCCTCTTCGCCTGACAAGCTGGCACTGGACATTCGGGTGGGGTAAACAAAATGGCCGCCTTTATACACGATGGATTGAATACTTTACGTCTTCTGATTGGTTAACCTTCTATTGGTGGACTATAAATTGAGTCAAGTCATTTCAGCTAACTCACTAGTTACATATATACACAAAAAAATGCTACAGCCTCTACTGTGACTTTATCCACTGTGACATATGTCCTTAAAGACACATGTCACAGTGGATAAAGGAATTGTTTAGATCCAGTGACAGAACCCAAAGAGTTGGGAGTTCAATACTGCTTAAGGCAATGGAGAGGTGAATTAACAAGAGATAACTGATAACTGACATCCATTAGGCATGTCATGTGGTCCTAGAACAGTCTATCTCAGCGAGCAAAATAAAGGGTGCAGTTAAACCAACTGAAGAAGGCCGGAGCGTACAATGGCCGAAACTTTGTGATAGATAAGGCAACAAAGATGAGGATAATAGTCCGAATAATGTAAACAGTGTATATAATACCTCATCTCAGAAATATAGACAGATACTGAAAGGCCGAAACTTTGTAATAAATATGGCGACAAAGATGAGGACAATAGTCCGAATAATGTAAATAGCGTAGATAATACCTCATCTCATAAATGTAGATACTGAAAGGCCGAAAGGTTGTATTAAATATGGCGACAAAGATGAAGACAATAGTCCGAATAATGTAAATAGTGTACATAATATCACATCTCAGAAATATAGACAGATACGGGTTCTCCCTTTGCTCGACCACTATAACCCACAGGAATCACTTCTTCCGAATGTGCCAGAGCGACACGTCTGAGCGAAACAGACGTCTCTTTGTCTCTGCTTCCAACGAGTTCAAACGTGTCCGCAAAGAAGTGAAGTTGATCTTTCCTGATAGAATGAACCAACGTACAGCAGCTCGCAATTTCGGTTCTAGAGTTTATTGGCGGCTCTGCAAACGTAAGCTTAACACCAGCAAATTCTATTCGAAGTCCTGACATCTAAAACAAATAAAGTTGAATGCTTTGCTCGGAGATCCTCTTCCGAGTCACTACTCGACTCATTTGAAGTACCCACATCTAATTTACCCAAATAAAACAGAGCTTCTACTGAGTGATATGCGCATAACTCTGTAACTGGTCTCGGACACATTTCTAAATTAGACACCTATATCCGGAGGTGACGGGATCCCAGCTATCGTTCTCTGGAAATGTGTTTCTGAGCTGGCTCCAGTTCTCTCCAAACTCTACACCTTGCATTCCAGGTTGTTGGAAATCCTACACAGTATTTCTTGTTTTTAAGAACTCTGGAGAATCTTCTGATCCTCTAACTAACGCCCTATTAGTCTCATACGGATATTCAGCAAAGTATGCAAGCTATTAATCAATTCTGGAGTGGTTAAGGATTTAACATCTCACGATCGGTTGAAGTGGTTGAGCAACTTACCTCTCACGACCAGTTGAAGTGGTTAAGCATATTACCTCTCACGACCAGTTCAAGTGGTTAAGCATCTTACCTCTCACGACCAGTTCAAGTGGTTCAGCCTCTTACCTCTCACGACCAGTTCAAGTGGTTAAGCATCTTACCTCTCACGACCAGTTCAAGTGGTTAAGCATCTTACCTCTCACGACCAGTTCAAGTGGTTAAGCATATTACCTCTCACGACCAGTTCAAGTGGTTAAGCATCTTACCTCTCACGACCAGTTCAAGTTGTTCAGCTTCTTAACTCTCACGACCAGTTCAAGTGGTTCAGCCTCTTACCTCTCACGACCAGTTCAAGTGGTTAATCATCTTACCTCTCACGACCTGTTCAAGTGGTTCCGACCAGTTCAAGTGGTTACCTCTCACGACCAGTTCAAGTGGTTAATCATTTTACCTCTCACGACCAGTTCAAGTGGTTCAGCCTCTTACCTCTCACGACCAGTTCAAGTGGTTAATCATCTTACCTCTCACGACCAGTTCAAGTGGTTCAGCCTCTTACCTCTCACGACCCGTTCAAGTGGTTATGCATCTTACCTCTCACGATCAGTTCAAGTGGTTCAGCATCTTACCTCTCACGACTTGTTCAAGTGGTTCAGCCTCTTACCTCTCACGACCTGTTCAAGTGGTTCAGCCTCTTACCTCTCACGACCAGTTCAAGTGGTTTAGCCTCTTACCTCTCACGACTTGTTCAAGTGGTTCAGCCTCTTACCTCTCACGACCTGTTCAAGTGGTTCAGCCTCTTACCTCTCACGACCAGTTGAAGCGGTTAAAAATCTTACTTCTCACGACCAGTTGAAGTAGTTAAGCATCTTACCTCTCACGACCAGTTCTCTGACAAACAATATGGCTTCCGTCTTGCCCGCCCTACCGCTGACGTGCTTACAGCCATCTTTGAATATGTATATCAAGCTCTTGATAATAACGTCGAATCTGGAACTGCGGCTCTTGATATCTTGAAGACGTCTGACAGGGTTTGACACCATGGTCTTCCACGTAAGCTCCTTGGCTACTGTATTACAGGAGGATTGTTTGATTTAATCCAATCATTCCTGTCAATTCATGAAATGAAGGTCATTTTGATCGGGTTCGCTTCGAGATCATTTCACATGAACGAGGTGTCTACCAAGGATATGTCCTGAGTCCTACGCTGTTTCTGATCTTCATCAATGATCTTCCAGATGTTATCAATTCCCAAGTAGGCATTTATGCAGATGAAACTACCATTTACTCCCGTCTCAATAGCAAATCCTTCAGAACTGACAAAATTAACCTGGAATCTGCTCTTGAAAAGGACCTCAAATGTCTCGTAAATTTTACTACCTTCAAATCAAAACTGCTCTCACTTAACCGTCATAGAGAAACTCACTTACCTGCGATCAGTATGACTGATGCTAGACTCATTGA